CATTTTCTCATTTATGAGTAAATTATTAGCCCTTATGACCCTCTAAGAGAATTATTGTTTTTATTTAAGCCAAGTATAACCTATAAAAAAGCTGCCTGGATTCTAAGTAAAGGTGCATCAGAATGTTTTCTTTGAGTGAATACAATTGACTTCGATCTGGTTTTCATCCTTCTGTTTTCCTACTCCTCTGAAATGTCACCAAGTAGATTAATCTTTCTAAAGCCCAACTGAGAAAATATCCCTTGCCCTGCTCCCAAACTTTCAATAGCTCCCATTACACACCACATAAGCTCCTGATGCTGCATTCAAAGCCTTCTACAACTTGATATTAACCTATCTTTTCTTTTATCACCCATTTTTCTCTGACAGGCACCAAGCTCCAGCCAAACCAGAGTGTGTGCCAATCCATAAATGCTGCCGGTTCTCACACTGTTGCCCATTCTTCACCACCAGCAGTGATGTTTTTCTCTTCACCTCCACCTGTCAACGTCCTACCTGGAGCTCAAGGTTCAGTTCAAGGCCCACATCTGCCTTGAAGCTAGAAATGATAGTTTCCCTCTTTTTTGTAGCACCAGAAAAATATGTTCATACCCACAACACTTGTCATGCCCTCGATTTTAACCTCCTGGAACAGACAAGACTTCTCTTAACTATTTTTATATCTCCCACTGTCCTGCCAAGTACTTAGAAATATATATTGCTAAATTTCTATATTTTATTTCTTCTATAAATTCCTTAGGATGAGGAGAAATTCCTTAGGGTAAAGACCTAGTTTTTCTTATCATTCTTGTCCCTTACAGTCCCTTTAGAATTTACTTAGTAATTGCTTAATAAATATTTGTTAACTAAATGAGTAGAACTTGCATTTTTTTTTCTTAAAATACAAGTAGGAATTTTGTCTATTTCAAGCCTGCAGAATATTCTCAATCCTTTAGAATTTACTTAGTAATTGCTTAATAAATATTTGTTAACTAAATGAGTAGAACTTGCATTTTTTTTTTCTTAAAATACAAGTAGGAATTTTGTCTATTTCAAGCCTGCAGAATATTCTCAATATTTCAATAAAGCGCAGTTGCTTTGGATAAACAGCACACCTTTGCAGCCTAAACTGGCTGAAAATGATGAAGTTTCTTATTTATTATGCTCCTGGATGTGCTTTTAATTTACTTACTGAAAGCACTGTCAGGAAAAGTGATAACCTTGTTAAGAATTTTTAAGAGAAATGTAAATGAAAATAAATATAGTTCTTTACCAATATACTCATATGAGTGTACTTGAAGAAGTTCATGGAAAGAATTGTATTATCTTTCAATTCCATTTTTTCCACAAACTTTTTGAAGAACCTTATGTATATTTTTAATCCTAAAGAGACAGAGATAAACCTGTCTTGAACCTATAGAATTTCCAGTGCATACATTTCAGAGCATTAATGGCAACACTGATACAGCATTCAGAAAATGACCTACTCGAGTCTGCTGAAAGGTCAGCCTCACAGTGAATGCCATCCTTTCCTTCTGAGATCCACCAAAAGACATACTAGTCAGTTCAGAGTGATCTTAGAATTAATTCAGTTATCTTTATGGCTTAGAAAATCCACTTCTAGAAATATGTTCGTCAGAAATACTAGCAAGGCTTGTAAAAACATATGCACACTGCCTTTAATCCCCACGTGATTTGGAAAAGGGGAAAAGGTAAGCAGTCTCTGGTCTACAAACAGAGCAAAGTTAAGTCAGTTACACCACAGTGGAACGAGTGCTCTGCAGCCCTGGCAAAGCACGTGGAAACGGTGCGAAACTGCGCTATCTGCCCTAAGCGCATCACTGTGCAGCACATGCATGTACTGACAACACACTGCACCCCACAAATGTATACAAGTAAATGTTAAAGTCAAACAAAATTTAAATAAATAAAATGTGTGATTTAAAGCAGAACAAAAAAAGAAAGAATGAGGTATGTCAATAGGTATGTCAACAAGGTTTTTGCTAAAAAGCCTGTCTGTGATATATTGATAACTATAAAAGAAATGCTGCAAAACATGGGGAAAAAAATCCAAATTGTTGAACATTATGTAGATATCATTTCTCTAAGAGTAATATCCTGTGCACTTACTTATATTTATGAACATGCGCACATGTGTATATGTATACATTTGAGTATAGTTGTTCACGTGAGCATGTGCTCAAACATCTGTGGATGTACATATGTGTGTACAAATATCTACACATATCTTTTATGTAAAATATATAAACTGTAGATATGCATACACACAGCTTTATAGATTTTTAAAAAATAATTATAGATAAAAAGGTGTAGAAAGATTTCAAAAAATTACCTCTTGGTATGAACTTAAAGGAGGAAGAAGTGAACTTTTATTCACTTAGAAATATAAAAATATGACAATTTGTAGAAGTTCAAGACTGTGGTGTTTATTTTGGGGACTGTCCCGATTTGTGATATACCCGAGTCTCCTTCCTAAGAATGGCCACTCTTCTTACTCAGTCTTGGGACTTCGCTTAAAGGAGGCCATGTGTGCAGTCCTTTAAAGCAGCTGTCCCTCTGACCTCAGGAGTCTGCAGCAGCTCTTACAGCCACTCGCCTCCATCCTGTGCACCCACCTGGCCCTGAGTCCCGCAGTGCTGAGGGCTGGTGTGGCGTGTGTACGGGGCCTCACCTCCTCAAACCAGTCACTGCGAGATGTTACTCGCATGTCACACTGATGAGATGCTGGAATACTCTGATGCCTGTCATGGAACAAGATCTCGTATTTATATGCTAAACAGACCACTATAACTGATTTACTATAATAAAAGAAAGTTCAGTTTTGTGAAACAGAGTTAAACCACGATTATTCAGTTTTAAAAGGGTATTTTTCACATCAAAAGATGATTTAATGTAGAATTATTTTTTACATGAGCTACCTTAGTACATTTCAAATGTTCTTTTATTTACAAATACTTGACTTAACCTCACATATCTGACATTATCTAATACGTGCCTTGTGCACCTTCTGGTTAGATGGGAATTTAAAACCAAACCAGAAACACATACTCTTACGCCATCCTCTTAAAGCATACTTTGGGCTGAGAGTATCTGTTTTCCATTTTCTCCTAGTGTGTCTCGAAATGCAATTTCTATAACAGCTCTCACCACTCCTATGGGTCTCAATGCTGGACTCATTCACTCACTCATTCATCAGATATTTACTGAATACCTACCTCCTGTCATTCACTTTTGTGAAGTGCTGGGGATGTACGTGTGAACAGAATGGACACAGTTTGGATCTACCAAGGGCAACAGACTTTAATCGTACAATCTCATAAATAAAAGTGGAATGGCAGATTGCATTATGATACATGAAGGGAAAGTAAGGAAGGAGGTAGAAAATGATAGGTGCTCTTCTCTGCAGACGGGACATTTAAGCAGAGACCTGAGCACTGGGTAGGGGCCAGCTGCAGAAAGAGCCGGATATGGTTTTCCTGGCAATGAGACGGGCAAAGGCCCTGTGGTACAGAAAGGCTGGGAGCCTGCTTGGGAAAGGGAATAAAGTCCATGTGTCTGGAGAGGAGCTGGTGACCTGGGCACAGATCCACATCAGTAAGAACATATCTGAGTGAGGCTTTAATGATGCGGCTGGCATTTCAACTCAGATCTTCCTGGCCCTGTCAAATGACCCTGTCATTTGTTATCTGTACATGTTCTTATGTGGTATAAAATGTCACATGAAGCTTTGCGAACTTGCCCCAGAATTTCCACAAAAGCACAGGCCTCTAATTCATTCTGGAAGGACATATTTTGCTGGGAGACATAGAGACTGAAGGGAAGAAGCCCAGTGAAGAGGTGACTGTAAGACTGGAGGGAAGCTGATGTAACTCTTTCGGTTCCAGGCTGCTTCATGAACAGCATGGGATGGATCTCAGCTGGATGCTGTCATGCAGGGTGCAATCCACACAACACTGTGGAGAAGTCCTGCTCCTTCCTCTTCAGCCACAACAATTATCTTCCAAAAACACAACACTGGTCAGTATAATCTCCTGATTTAAAAATTCTAATGAGTCCTCAATGACCACATGATACAGTGACAACTCCTTGACAGGTCACACAAGGCCCTTTGCAAGTGGATTCCCAAATTCTTTTCTTATATTGTCTACTTTTACTTTGCTGAGCTAAAACTACTGCTTACCACCCCCACACTTGGGTCAAGACAGATCATCCTCTGTGATTTGGCACATGGTATTTCTCTTCCAGGAATGACCAACCAAGTCATCGGCAGGGTAACCTGCTGCTGATCCTATAGACAGCTTGCTGCCTCTGTCCTCTCTGAGTCCACAGCTTTCAGAGGGCAGCACATGGCACTGAGGGCACACACCCTGCTGACCAGGTCAGCTCAATCTACCTGGTAGTTAGTGAGTTACAGATGTTGGTACCCGGTGTCCTGACAGCTAACCTCTTTGCAAAGTTTCCCTTCATTAGGCAAAGTTTTTTTTTTGGGGGGGGTAGGTTTAGGTTGAGGAGGACTGAGAGAACTTTACAGGTGAAGGAAACAGCATGTGCCAAGGTACTGTGGCAAGAGGGACACAGCTTACTGGAAGAACTGGAGGAAGACCAGTGTGTGGGATGCAGGAGTTATGTAAGAGAAAGCCATCGAGTGTGGGCTCTGATTGGGGTTTTGAGTGTAACTATCTTTTTCTTTTATTAAATGTTACTGAACTGGTGACTGATCAACATCCATGTCAAATTGAAATGTACAACAGAAAATATGAATGGGCCCAACCATATATAAAATTGGTTCTACCTTTGCAGTAAGGAAGAGAAAAAATAAATGGTTACAAAACCAGAATATAGTAGGTGTCTCAGATTGAGTGTACCCCCAAAACTTGACCCCCACACCACGACAATGTTAAGAGGGTGGAAAATCCTATTATGGTAATTGAAAGGTGGGGCATTGAAGAGGTGATTAGATTCTAGGACCGTGCCATAGTGAATGGATTAATAATGGTGGTCAGGGCATGGTTCTGAGGGCTTTAAATGGAGAGTGAATGAGGAGGTTGGTCTCTCTTTTCTCTCTCTGCTCTGCCATTTTCTGCCATGTGAGACCCCTGCATTGCTGTAAAGCCACCACCAAGAAAGACTCACTAGATGAGCTCCCTGGACTTGGACTTCCAGCCTCTGAAATTGTAAGTAATAAACTTCATTTTCTTTATAAATTACCCCATTCCATGTATTTTGTTATAAGCAACAGAAACAGACTAACGCAGTAGGAGACACTGATAGAATTCAATTGAGGGCCGAGCCCGTGGCGCACTCGGGAGAGTACGGCGCTGGGAGCGCAGCAGCGCTCCCGCCGCAGGTTCAGATCCTATATAGGGATGGCCGGGCCGGTCACAAAAAGGAACAGAAAAAAAAAAAAAAGAATTAAATTGAACAAGTTTTTATTGGACTGTGAGGTCTCTAAGTGCATGGTATTGTAGGGAATATAAGAGATGAATGAGAAATATTAACTGGAGTATCAAGTGTAGGGGCAACATTTAAATATTTACACAAAATGGAATGAAATTTCAGTATTAAATAAAGAAGGTTTGGAAGACTTTATGGAACGTGAGAATTGTACTGGGTCTTTAAGAATCGCAGACACCTGAGTGAAGGGCTGGAGCAGGAAGTTTTGGAAGAAAGAGCAGCAGAGGTGCAGGAACTAAAACAAGATCAAGCAGGGCTGGCCTGTTCAGGCAGCATCAAGGAAAATGGTGTAATTGGAAAAACAGTGTGTTTTTAGGAGGAAAGGAAAATCATGACCAAATTAGAATATCAAGAAAAAGTTATCAAAGAGGAAAGGTACAGAGGTTGAAATAATCATCCTAAAATAGAAGGTTATGGAATGACTTAAAAATTTGTTCATAAGAATCCATGAATAGGGGTACACGTTACTATTACTTTAAGTTACGGTATGCAGAATTTAGTTTGGAGAAAATGAAGAATTTCTTGATAATTAAAATATGAAACAGTATGCAAAGAGAATGGGGATCTTCAAGTCTGCCTTAATTAAGTGCTAAAAATAGATGTTTCTGAAAGTCCTATTTCCTCTGTAGGCCATCCAACATTCTGAGAAGTGCTTTTAATCTCAGCAATGTGCTAATTGTTTCTAATGGCCTGTAAACAAACTCCCTAAACTATTAACCTTCTCTCTTTAGCCAGAGAATCAAGAAATTAGTCTTGAAAGAAAGGGCCCCAGCATGTTGCCCAAGAGGGTGTCCCAAAGTAGAAACACTGTCACTTGGTTTGGAGGAGACTCAAAGTCAAACCAGAGCAGCAAACTTGAAATGTGGAATACATAAGCTCAAAACATAAAAAAAAAANTTCAGATCCTATATAGGGATGGCCGGGCCGGTCACAAAAAGGAACAGAAAAAAAAAAAAAAGAATTAAATTGAACAAGTTTTTATTGGACTGTGAGGTCTCTAAGTGCATGGTATTGTAGGGAATATAAGAGATGAATGAGAAATATTAACTGGAGTATCAAGTGTAGGGGCAACATTTAAATATTTACACAAAATGGAATGAAATTTCAGTATTAAATAAAGAAGGTTTGGAAGACTTTATGGAACGTGAGAATTGTACTGGGTCTTTAAGAATCGCAGACACCTGAGTGAAGGGCTGGAGCAGGAAGTTTTGGAAGAAAGAGCAGCAGAGGTGCAGGAACTAAAACAAGATCAAGCAGGGCTGGCCTGTTCAGGCAGCATCAAGGAAAATGGTGTAATTGGAAAAACAGTGTGTTTTTAGGAGGAAAGGAAAATCATGACCAAATTAGAATATCAAGAAAAAGTTATCAAAGAGGAAAGGTACAGAGGTTGAAATAATCATCCTAAAATAGAAGGTTATGGAATGACTTAAAAATTTGTTCATAAGAATCCATGAATAGGGGTACACGTTACTATTACTTTAAGTTACGGTATGCAGAATTTAGTTTGGAGAAAATGAAGAATTTCTTGATAATTAAAATATGAAACAGTATGCAAAGAGAATGGGGATCTTCAAGTCTGCCTTAATTAAGTGCTATAAATAGATGTTTCTGAAAGTCCTATTTCCTCTGTAGGCCATCCAACATTCTGAGAAGTGCTTTTAATCTCAGCAATGTGCTAATTGTTTCTAATGGCCTGTAAACAAACTCCCTAAACTATTAAATAGATGTTTCTGAAAGTCCTATTTCCTCTGTAGGCCATCCAACATTCTGAGAAGTACTTTTAATCTCAGCAATGTGCTAATTGTTTCTAATGGCCTGTAAACAAACTCCCTAAACTATTAACCTTCTCTCTTTAGCCAGAGAATCAAGAAATTAGTCTTGAAAGAAAGGGCCCCAGCATGTTGCCCAAGAGGGTGTCCCAAAGTAGAAACACTGTCACTTGGTTTGGAGGAGACTCAAAGTCAAACCAGAGCAGCAAACTTGAAATGTGGAATACATAAGCTCAAAACATAAAAAAAAAAGAAAAGTAACCCTTCTTCTCCCTGGTTTAGCTTGGCTGCGTTCCTATTTATAGAGAGAAACATAAATTATATAAATTATAGCACCTCTCACGCATCTTCCAGACATACAAATTTGTAATTCCAGGATTGTTTAAACATTAAAACAATATGCCTTAATTGACAAAAATGTTGAAAGTTTGATCCTTGCAAGTTAAGATTGATGCCAGCTTGAAAATGGGGTTCAATTTAGTCTCAGAAAGGTAATGCCACCTGAACTACCAGGAAGTGAGCAGGTGCCCCTGTGTTCTAGAACATTAGAAAATTAATTTAATTTGTTCAAAAAAAGAAGAATCATAAAATAGCCAAAATTGTTATGAAAAAAAAATGTCCAATGAAGAGAGGCTTTTCCAACTATATTTTAAAATTTATTTAAAATTATAGTAATTCAACTGTGTGCCTGGCACAGAATGAGTCATGGAACATAAGTAGAAGGCCAGATAGAGATCCTCAAAACAGACACAAATATGTATATGTGATTTCAGGTTATGAAATGACATTTCAAGTAAGTGAGTTATCAGATAACTTGATAAATGGTGTTAGAATAATTAACATAATAATAATGATAAAGTTGAATCTTTTTAGCATTCCTCAACGCAGGTACTTGAGAAGTCCAAAGAATCGAATATTTAAAACAACGAAATTGTAAAACTGAGAATACAACATGGGTAAATTGAGGTAAGAGCCCAGTATTGGCAAAGAAATTCCTGACAATGTAGAAAAATCAAAATCACTGATAAGTGGCTACATACAAATCTAACAATTGGTATAGGAAAATACTCAAAACATATTAAAAGAGAAAGAATAAATGGGGAAATATTTACATTTATTACACATATGGAAAAGTGCTAGCATTTCTGATATATAAAGAAATCTTCCAAATTTGTTATTTTTAAAAAGGAGAAATACCCGGTAGAAAACTTGGCGGGGGAGGAGGTCAAAACAAGTAATTCACAAAAGAAGAAATACAAAGAGCCAGTTCACCTAGAAATCATAGTCAGTGTTGGGGCAGCAGCTGGACATCCAGTGGTCTAACCACCAGCTGCACAGCTGTGGACACGCACATCTGCTGAATGCCAGCCC